TTCTGAGCTATTAGTGATTTAAAAAGAACATATAGCATCAGTATTTACGTGGAGTGAAGTTGGTCCAACTGTGACATATAGCAAAAGAAACAGGAGTACATTTACCCAAGTACACGGATTGTAACATAAAATTCTAGCTATGACGCAAATAAAGCTATACAAACAGTGATGCGTGAATAGAAAAGAATTTAGTTGAGAGTTTTACCTGGTAATTCAACCTAAAACGCCCAAGTAGACGGCAGAACACATGGTAGTTATCCTGATCAGCAAGACCTGATTCGACGAAGATATGGGGCCGGGATCAGTGAGAAGATATACGTAGAAGTAAGATCGGTAGGTATCAAATATGCATTAGAGACGCAAAATCATCACATACGTACAGTACAATGGTAACCGACTACATAACTGAGAGGCTGGGATTTTAGTCATGAAGGGTTAGAAAGTTGTAAATGACACAGTTGCATACAATGCAACACCTTAAGCTTAAGTTTTACAGTCGGACAGAAAAATTCCGGAGTGTAATACATCAAACATACCTTTTCCTGTTTGAAGAATTTCTTTGGTTCCAGTCATCAAATGGGCTAAAAATTTAGAGCGGGTAGCATCATCTGTGAACGTAGAGCGTCTTACAGAAGCCAGTCGCACCACGCACTCAAGTGCCTAGAAGTTAAAACAGAGAAACATTAACAAATAGCAAATTAGAAGTCATCTAAAGCTACCAAATGTGTGCTAACTGTAAATTAATTAATCAGATGATCAGTGATAATATGCATTTGAAACACCTCTCCACACAATGGGTGGATAGAAAATTAGAAATGAACTAAAGATCATTTTTCTTTGATGCAAAAGATGCCTATATGCTTAAGAACTGAAAAATATTGACATACCTCTTTCGAAAGAGGCGAGTCTGTACTACCATAATAATCGAAAAATATCTGCAGCGTGGAGGGATCCTCCAATACCGACCTCCAGGACAATGGAATCTATAAATTATAGGTAAACCAAGAAGTTTAGTTCTTACATCATGAAAATCGAGTACCACATATACATAGGCACTAAGCAGTCACAAACAGGATGAAAATAACACAAGATTAATGTTCTACCTGAACAGTACCAAACTCTTCTGTGCTTTCATCAACTGAAGTTCCAACAAAATCAAACGATACACACCTCAGCGCAAGGGAAAGTGCCAATTCTTGTAAACGTCCGGCAGCTGATAAAAGATGACGTTTGACTCATTACGATTAAGCTAACAAGAAAAAAGAAATGAAATTCCCATGCCCATGCCTAGACCTAAACATTTCATTAGCATATATTTTCAAGATAGCATTTACAACTCAAAGCTGGCATGACGGAATATAATGAAAGCCTGAAAAAGATGAGTCAACCAACAGTTCGAACTTCCAGAAGTAGTATCCATTAATATACTGCCAGCAAAATTCACACATGCGCAACCAACAATCTAGGTTGATGGCATCAATGCATTACAAGATGAAGTTCATAATATTACCATTACTTTTCAGATAGCTTAATGAAGTCAAAGCTATTTGGAATATTTGAAATACGGAATGATCCCTGAAGTTGCTTGCAACCCTCCGGTGACGTATAGAAGGCAGTCCGGGATTAGGCTAAGAATTGAACAAAAAATAGATGGAGAAATGTCAATAAGTATTTCACAAAAGTAAATAAATGGACAATATTTTCTGACACATTCTATATCTAAAATAATGCACGCTGTAACATATACCCGTCTAACAAAAACCACCATTTTAAAACTTAAAAAGTGCATTTGAAATTTACATAAAGGAATGGTGGAAACAGACAGTAGACTTATATAGAGCACAACACTCTTACTCTATCTGTAACAGATAGATACTTTAGATCACATTGAAACAAAAGGATGAGACAACTCAAAACCAATATGACTCTGAAGCAATGAGCAATCCATGTCAGGAAACACAAACTCAACAGTGAGCAATTCCAGCCTTTGTTAAGATATTTATAGACCATAAGCCACTAACCTGACTCATCTCCTGCACAAGTTGATCCAAAATTCTTAAACCAATAGCATAGAGATCCGCGGAACCCTATTCAAAAAAAAATTATGAAAGAATATATTCAGCAAGCTCTTGTTAAGAAAACCTGAAACTTCTAGAAAAGTAACATCCACATGAGTTTCTGCAATCCACAGAGCACTAAAAAATAAAGATAATACAGTCACCATACACCCACGAAGATGCACCACCTGTTCTAAGAAGTTTGTTGATTCCTTAACCACATCTCTGAATCTATCACCATCTAACCACCCAAACTTTGTGAGCCGGCAAAGCAGTTGAATGAGCGAAGAAATAACAAATGGTTGCATCTCCGGTCCTCTTGTAGCCAGATAGTTCACTATATAATCTCCTAAACAAAACCACCAGAACACCAGAAACAAGTAAGTTATTAAATTTCAGAAACGAGATATCTAGTCATTTAGTTTGAGGGACTGCATAAGAAGTTTACTGATATCAAGGCGAAGATTCAGCGGAAGGGTATGATCCATCACTTGCTTCAACAAACTCGAGCTGGCGAGCATTAAGGCATAAGGTTGTGATGAATTGTCGAGTATGTATTGACATTGCGGTATATAATCCTTATTCACAGAGAAGCATCTCAGAGTATTTTCAGCGTGAGCCCTCTCAGCTGTATCTTGTGAGTTGTATAATCTCTCGCATAATGCCTCAAGTTGCGCCAAGGGCTCCATCACTAACGAAGCAGAATCTGACCAAAAAGGTAGAAAAGAATAGATACCACTACCATTTTAACAAGAGTATATATACAGGACTTTAGTTTATTACAGAGTATCCTGATTTATGAAGTATTCAGTATCAACGAAGAAGGGAATGAATCATTACACAACACAATGAACAAAACAAGCTTCAGGAGAAAAATCAAATGACACAGTTCCACAATAATCCCAACCCACAATTCATAAGAAAATGAAATACCAAGATTCAAACAGAGATGGAACAACGTAAAATATGACAAAAGATCACTAGTAAGTTGACCATGTACAAATTCAGTGAGCTACATACAACAGAGAGGGAAAAAAAAAGAGAGTACACAAGTAGTGATAGAAAAAAATGATAGCCTAATGGCAGAGTCAAGTTCCTAACTCTGGATGATGGAAAAAGTATCGAAGCTGTGTATCACCTAACTCCAGCTCAGTACCCGGGTTGATTTCTGTTTAAAAACGTCACAAATCAAACTTCAGTAGCCACACAAAACGCCATACATAAGAGTGAAAGCTACAACTCTATATAAGACACAAGCCACACATAGTCGCTATAAGTTTAGCACATCATACAATACAAGATAACTCCAGTAGATATGGAAACCAAACAAACTACTTGGAAGACAATGTCATTCCGCCACAGCTACATCCTATCAGACTTCATCGAATCGCACGGAAAGACTATTGACGAAGCATTAAACGAATCATGCGCACATAGCTATGCTAACGATAAATCAGCATACACGTTCGATACAATCCAAGAACAAAGATATCCACACGAAACACACAGCAAAAACGGCTACAGTACGGAAATGAGCTACTTATAAACCCTAGATTTCGTATTTTCTATCACATTCTAACCATTATAAGTAAAACTACACTGATACGATTCGTCATCGATCTTCATCACTTCGCGAAGCACACGATTGACGAAAATAAACCGTCGAGCAAAGAAAAGTTGAAAAAAAACGACGATGTGAGAAAAGAAACTTCGCCTCACCAGAGATGGAGCTCGTAGCAACTCCGATTGCGTTATTCGGTAAGTTTTTTCCGGCGAACTGAAATCTTGATCAGCGAAGCGTCGACGGTTACAGCGAGAACGAAGAAGAGTCGTGCAGTCTGATCAGGCCAGTGTGTATATTTCTTTTTGGTTTTATAGATACTGATCACTCGTGTTGCAATATGGGCCAAACCCTAGTTTAATGGGCCGAAGCGCATAAATAAATCGGGCCTAAAAATAAGTACAACATTTTTTTGTCAATTCAGACATCTCTAAAACAATTTAGGCTGGACATGATTAAAAAATATATTTCATTTCAACCTAGATATATCATAGGTAATTTAAACTTTAATTGGCTGAACTGCTTGGCAGTTCTCTAACTGGCCAACTTTTATAACGCGAAGCCGCCCGCTAAAAATCTAGCGGTCAAAGACTTTGTCAACAAAACAAATAGTATATGATCAACTAGCTTAAATTATATAATCTGCTCTAGTTTTCTTAATCAACTTCTAATCTACCCCCACCAAACTACAATCGTCTGGGAAGTGGCAAACGTTATTATTCTCACCTGTTAGATATGATTACTAACGATTATGTATATTTTAAATGATGTGATGTCAGCCTGAGAAAATACAGTTATGAGTGGTTAAACAAATAAAATTTTGGACAATTTGTCAAAACATTTTCATTAGACGGAAACATTGCAAGGAAATTATGCATTCATCATAAAAGATAGGTATTAATTGATGTTATTGTAGTCACTAGCTACTCCAAACTGAAATTTCTCGAGTGTAGATGGTTGTATGACTAGTACGGCTTAACGATTTTTGAGTAATTGGCGTCTTCTGTATCAAGTTTTAAACATTATTTGAGAGAACTATCTCTTTCTTTTAGAATGATGATCTTTTACTATGCGTTATTAGTAACTTTGAGCTAGCTTCTCGTGTACAAAGTAGGCTTGAATCCACCATCATATTTGTTCTCATTGATTTTTAGTTAAACGATTAGTTATAATATTTACATTTACAACCTAAAAATATATGATTGTGATATGTAATCATCATACAGTATAGTCCTTACCACTTTTCATATATAAGGTTGATATAACGGTCCATTCCAACTATTTGCATTTGATCAATTTTTTTTTAATTAACACATTGCATTTGTTTACTTATTATTGGTTTCTCTTGAAGAGATGTAACATGTAAATAAGTTGCCATTTATTTATTTTAACAAAAAGTTGATATATATAGTGGCATATACTACATTCGGCAAAAGATATATAAATTAAGAAAAATACAACCAGTAAAAAGTATACTTCAGATCTAAAAAGGAAAACTTATAAATATTTTTGCAATCAGTGTCACATTATTTAGAAAATGCGTATCAAAATGAACTTGAAAACTATTTGAAAACTATTTGAAAAAAGGTTTGATAGTAGCGACCACCTTCTTGAACTGGTCAAGAAACGACGAATACGACACGGTTCCATCGTTCCCTGCAAGAACTCTGTATTTATCCTTCCTCGTGAAGTTAGTACACTCAAACCCTAACGTAGCAGCCAAGATTCTCTGAACATAATTAGCCACGTCGTACGGACTCTTCCCTGACGAACACGTTGCCTCCACTTCAAGCTGGTTCAAGAACGTCACCTCGTAAACCGGCCTAGGGTTCATGAAAAAGAAGATGGGGTCAAAACCCTTCCAGCCTCTAGCAGTAGTCGCATGAAAGAAACCAACTCTATAGTTCATAGCCACGGGAACAATCTTATCAGTTAACTCCGCGAAGAGCGCGCTAAATCTCAAAAGAAACGGCTCACGACAAGTGGTTCCCTCGGGGTACACCACTAAGTCCCCGTTAGATAACTCTTTCTTGATAATCTCGGCGTCCACATGTCGAACTCGAGTTAAACGAAACGTTGGAATTGGAGATAGAATCTCAGATAACCTAGAAACGGAGTAGGTAACGGCTGGGATGCTACGACCAAGTACATAAGACAATATCACTGGGTCCATTACGGTTCTATGAGTGCATACGAATAGTACGCCTAGGTTTCCTGCGGATGCTGGTGCGGGAGGCTTTCCTTTTACGATGAACCGAATGTTGAATATGCGTGAAACATAAGGTATGGCCCATAACGGGAGCATGGAGCCGATGAAGAGACGAATCACGGCTAGGATTATTCCGAGAGGGATCCAAAGGAGGATGAGGAGTGCGGTGGCTGGTGTTGGTAGCTTTACCAAACGTCCATCGTGGAAGATTACCGGTTGCAGCTGTACATGTAGACGATGGACGTTGTAGTTCGATGGAACCGGTGCATGAACTTGCTCCTATAAAAGGTAGACGATCATTAAACTGACATATTTTAGAATTAAAATATTCGAGGTCCATAAAAAATATGAACGGGGATTTAATTTTAATAAAAATGGATTATATCATTAATGAAAGTATATTGGAAACCTATTTTTTATTAATGAAAAAAATCAAATATGCAACAAATAATAAAAGCATTTTATTTAATTTTTATAGATGCATAAAATCTCCCTTTCTCTATTTTTTTCTCATTACAAAATAGCTTAACCATTAAACTACTAGATTAAAGAGATGATTCTCGATAAAATATATAACTATATCAAATAAAACTATCATACTATTAAAATAATTCTGATTTTTATCTAATTAGCATGTATAAAGTTTTTTTTTAAAAATGATTCTGTTCCATTTTAAAGAGTGGCCGTAACATTTTCTTAAATTATATCATACCTCACATAACGATAGGAAAGTTGGAGATCCAGAGGTAAGCGGTCGTCCAAGGCCTAGTTGAGGTCTCTGATCCACAAACAAGTTAGCCACACTGTTGAAAACAGATCGATCAACATCGGATTCCTGAATCAAACCGGTGGCATAACCGAAACGGTTAACGATTATCTCTGTACCGATGACCTTAACGGCTCTAAGATGGTCCTTAGCGAATCTCTCCACCATAACTCGTGGCATTCTTGTGACAACGACTCTCTTCTCGCACGAACCAAACACTCTCCAAGCGTCCATGCTTATATCATCCATGTAGAATTTGGGAAGAACGGCTCGAGCCACAGATTCAATCTCAGATTCGCGCAAACCAGCCATTGCAACGAAGATCATCAACTTAAGGCTACTGTTTCGATAGCCCAAAACGTCGAGGAGTGCTATGATAGGCCAGAGAAACAGCAGTAGTGTGTAACGAATTAGCCCTGATGCCTCAAAAGCCACGAGCATGAAGTAAGCGAAAGGTTTAGGGTTTTTCAATAGAGTTCCTTCTAGCTCAGACACGACCGAATACGATGTTGTCGTTGATGGCTCCATCACCATTTAATTATTTCTGTTTGTTTCTTTGAGTTTCTGTTTGTTTGAATATGAAAGTATTGGACCATATAGTTAGTTTTTATAAGGTTTGAATTAACTTGTCTCTTATGCAAATATCACACGGTGACACGGCAGTTTATCAGTTTCGCAACCACTTCTATTTTAATTTGTTTGTTCAACGCATGCATTAATTTATTTGTCGTTGATCAATATATATTCCTGGATTTTTATTTTTTGTGAAAATATATTTCTGGATTATACATTAATGATTCATAATATTCCAGAAGTCAATGAGCAAGGAGGATACTGGACCTCATTTGTTTTGTCTTTTCTTTTTGATCGTAAGAGCATCCGCATCAGCGGTTTATCGCACGGAATCCTATAAAAAAATATTTTTTAATTTCATGGACCCCTTTTTCAATGAACTCGGTTCGTCACGCCTCTTAGACGAGTTCATCTCTATTCCGTGGGTTCCACGCAACATGGCGGTCCGTGATTGGTTAGATTATTAAATTTCTTTTTTTTGGGAAGTAAAAAAAAAATTAAAACGTACCTTGGAATCCGCGCCCATGCGGATCGCTGATGCGGTTGCTCTAAGAATTAATTTACTATCAACAAAGCGGAATAGTGTTTAGCAAAACAAAAGGTAAAGCGGAATTATTTGATGGCTAAACTTTCACCAACCTTGTAGCAAAAGAAAAAAAGAAGCAGAAGCTTTGACCAACTTGCTTCCGAGTATTGGTCAGGCTGCACCAGTATTAGGTCACGTATACACCTAAATATACAAATAGTATTTAAATTTCGTGGCACCGTATGTAATAATAAAGTATTTAAAAGATCGTGGCACCATATATATAATAATAATAGTACACTGACCATGTGTAAGAACACCGTATATGTTTTTTTGGAGGGGGAATATTTTAAATTTCGTGGATTTGTATGCACGTAGATATGGAATTTGTTATCATATGCAAATGTAACGTGTGGAGATATTAAAATGAATATAATTTTCATTTTGTGGGATGTACTTCAATTGTTTACGAAAACTTAAACCTGATTAACATCCCCATCAAATCATAGTATTTTTCAATGATTTTGATCGGCCTTATATTAACAGACTTTAACAAAAAAATTACCAAATCAGATTATATTATGATGTTTTGCTTGTGTAGTTCAATTTGGTTTACTGAAAACATGGTTTAACTTGGGCTTTATGTCATCTCGACTTTCTAAATTCTAAAGGGTGAACATCAAATTTCTACATGGCGATATTTCGTTGCCTATGTTCGTCACTGTTTTCATCTCCGCTAAAGGAAATTCTAGAAGGTAAAATATAAAAATGTTTTTTCACATAAAATAACACGTTATGGACACCGGTTGGGCAATAGGTTAAGACCCACCAAAACAAAGGAGAATTTGTGAGCGAGGCTTAATGATACCGACAAGTAGACAAGGTCCCTAGGGGTTCACACATAACTAACGATATGATTGCATGCATGATTATGCTGTAACATTGTAAAAGCTCGAAAGTCGATATTAAACGAGACCGACTCGTCCCAATTCCTGAACTTTCCTCTTTTGTGTCTCTCGCACACAAACGAAGGACGCCACATCCACACACAAATAATAAATAAAAAGTTGTGAGGTTTGAGACCACTTTCCAAATTACATAGTAGGTTCAATGTTATTGGCATTGGTTCATTGTCGCCGCTTTTTATCTGGTCTTTCAGTTTCCTATATTGCGCTCCCAAATTGTAAGTGGCAAACAAAGATAAGGACAATTATGATTAAATTATAGACAACTATGGATTGATTATTCAATGGATAGTTAACTTTGGTTAACAATAATCACAGCTCTATCAAAACATGTAGATATATAGGGGAGGATGAGTCACGACCTCTATATATAATTTTAACACGTACAACTATAGTTTTTTACTTGAGGTGTCCTGATGCCGCCTTCTAGATGCGAGCTCGTTGATTTCGGCTCCAAACAGTGATTCCAGTACAAAATAAATAAGGGGTTTTTGCAAATTTGACTCAAAACTCAAAGTCAAACACAAAACTAACCTTTCTTGTTTTTTGATTTTTCATTTGTCTTATTCACCCCATTTGTTCACATTATTTACGAAAATGCCATTACACTTTTTTCTTTTCTTTTTTTTGAAAATTATTTTTTTACTCTCTCAACCTCATCATCTTCAAGTATTTACAAGAT